CTTCCTTACTTCATCCTCTCTCCTTAATCTCTTTAAATCTCTCTTCTTTATCCCTCCTTAACGTCTCTCTCCTCTCCTCCTTTCTACTCCCTCTCTCCCTCTCCCTCTCCACACTCTCTCTCTCTCTCTCTCTTTCTTTTACTATATATTAAGCGAGAAGGAGACCCGTGTTACTTTTATGACACATGTCCCTTTCTCTATTTTCTCTCTTTCTAAAAATCGGTTCAACTGTTGTCTTTTTTTTCAAAAGTTCCAAAGCCAAAGGTTCCCACCTCCTTAATCTCTTCAACAATGTCTTTCCTTAAACTAAAGGGAAAGGTTTGTATGCTTCCCCTACAGCATAGAAGTTCTATCCTCTCCCTACCATCCAGTCGTCCAATTTTGATCAAGAGAGCCACTCACCGTTTGATCTTGGATCCGACGTCTCTAAGTATTTTATTTTTAGTTTTTTTTATACAAATTGTATGAATATGGAATGTGGTACGTGCCATCTTCTCATTGGGGCGCACCTATAAAAAATATTAAAAATAATTTTTTGATAAAATATAATGACCAAAATACCCCTTGAAACTTTCAGGGGTATTTTTGTCATTTTATTTTATTGAAAATATTTTTTTTATATTTTTCGCTAGTATGAGTTTAATAGAGGAATAGACGTCCAAAATTTGGTGTCAAAATCGTTTATAGAAAAAATTAAAAATAAAATAGTGTAGAGACGTGACATTGTGATTGGCCCAATCTTAGCCCTCCATTCAGAATGAACGGTTGGATAAGGGGGAGGATAGAACTTCTATGCTGTAGGGGAAGCATAGAAAGTTTGCCCTAAACTAAATATCTACGTAACTTCTTTCCTCTCTCATTTCTTTGTCCCCTCTCACTCATCCCTCTCTCCTTAAATCTCTTTCAATCTCACCTTAAATATTTCTTTCTTTATTTCTCCATAAATCTTTCTCCCTCTCTTCCTTTCACTCCCTATCTTCCTCTCCCTCTCCACGTACTATCTCTCTATCTTTTTGTCCCAAATTTTTCGAAGGATATCTCTCCCCATTTCCTTCTAAAGTCTCTCTCTCTCTCTGTATTTTCTATTTTACTTTGTCTTATTCTAATTTTGACATTTTTTTTACCCGATCGTGATTTACAGCCAATATACCATATCATAGATCTCTGGATGCTGTCAATTTTAAACATCATTTTAAAATGTTTGGTAACAAAATAAGATTCTTTTATTTGTTGTAGTTTGGTACTATATTTTTTTGTGTCGTTTTTCATTTAATCTAATTATATTTTGCTTATTAAATTTATAAATTTATTTATTGTATGATTAGAAATAAAGAATATCATTTGGATTGAGTAATTGTGGTTGAGTAATTTAAATAATGATAATAGTGTTTTCTAATTGTTGTGTTTATTTTCATGACTATAGTGTTGTGTACAATTATGATTATGTATTTTAAGTCGATTAGTAGAATATTAATTTGACAATAACAATTAATTATAAAAGTATAAGGAGACTTGCATAAATTAATGTATCAACATCGGTCATTAGTAATAACGAAATATAAATAATTAATATATACCTTATCATTAATATAAGGAATTGATAAACATAATATATTATTATGAAAACTTATATTCATACTAATTAACATGATTATAGATATTAATATTCATAAATTTAAAATTCTTGAAACTTTATAATATTTACTATTTACTTAAAAAATTTAGTATTATTGTATAATTATTTATTATAATTTCATTAGTGGATATAATGATACTTACATTGCATTATCAATAAATTGTAATTACCTAAAATTAGTGATAATAAATAATTTTTTTATAATTTTTATGTATTTTATATCAATTAATAATATTGTCTATAAATAATTAACACTAATGATTAATCATTTGGATTATACTAATATAATTCATTAACTAAGTCGTGGGTAGGGCAAGGGCACGACAGGGGAGTA